GGCGCAAGTGAGTTCAAAGTACGGAACTTGATATAGTGCACGGGTCATTTTGCAATTTATGTGCGTTGGCTGTTGGGCTGGCGTTACATATCTTCGCTATACAGTGCTGACGAGCCCCAAGAAGGGCGAAACAGCTGTCCACTGTTGCGATCCTACTTTATCGGTTCTTGTCCTGTTGGTGTCTCGAAACGTTTTTCACGTAGTGCCAGCCTTGCAGTCTATTGCTTGTCTTTAAAAAGAGTGGCCATGCTTCAAAAACAAAGCGTTATAAGTTACTTACATGTTATCAGCACGCATGGAATTATAAGGTTGACGTAATAATACTTGGTACGCCTCCTTATATGGACTGTGTACGTCACATCCGGGTAAGGCTCGGGACAGCATACGTAAATGATCTCATTTCTTTGCGCAGGGATACCAATCAAATCCCACTCTCCATTGTTAACGTACTTCTTAGTGTCACCTTCCTGTGCTTCCAATACAACGTCCAATCGGTAACCATCATATGTCCACGAACCGAACTTCATCGAACAGAACTAAATGAGAAGGTAAGAATTAAAAAACAGAAAAAATAGAAAGGGAGCAGTCCTACACACAGCTTAAAGGGTCTACGTCACGGTTTGTTCATCTTGAAAAGTTTAGCCTAAAATTTTCAAGTTTGCCCTTTAATTATAATCCGTGTTAATCTTCTCCATCTTTGTTCCTCTACGGTTTATCATGATCTCTTTGGTGTTTTTCTGACCTACTAGACCACTATTTCCAGGTTTCATTCAATTTAAGGCAATTTTATGCGTGGTCGAAATAACTCAAAATACTGTGACAGAGCTCCTTTAAAAGGAACTTCAGATTGAAGAGTAGGTAATTTAAGCTCATATCAGTCTCGTTCCCAGAATCCTCCCTACTTCCTGCCTTCATCGGAATCGAGATCATGCTGAATATCTCTATTATTGTTCAATCCTAAGCCATTCCGATTATATTCGACATCATATTACGAATAAAAACACACTATTATCGAAATCAGTTATTTAAAGCCTATCAGATTGCGGCCACCCCTAGCGGTTGCTGAAATTATTGCAAATGTAATCGACACGTTGATCGTTTTTGCCTGACTGTAACTGATAACTTGGATATTGCACATGTGACTTGCATGTGTGAAAGGTCAATGGGGATATTATTAATAACATTCCATAACTGAGCATTTTGAAAAGTATGCTCAAGTTATGTGGTTGACGAAATATGGTGACCGTTTTCAATACCAAATTTTCACAACTGATTCTCCTTGATTGCTGGCGCTGACTGACGCAACTGCTAGTTGCAACCTTGTTTAAAATGCAAGCTCACTTACCCAGAGAAAGTTTGTTATTAAAGCGCTCACCTGTTCATCAAAAGGGAAAAAGTCAACATTTATCTTGCAAGAGAAAGTGTAGAGAACTGGGCCGAGCCACATGTTCCGTCCGTTGGAACTGAGTACTATTTTGGTTTTGAATCGATCCAGTGCGCCATCCTGGGTCGCGTCAGCACTTGAATCAGGAGAAAAGAAAAGAAAGGTATGAAGAAACTATTAAAGATCTTGAGAGTTAGTGATTCATTGTATATACGACCTACAGCCAATGAAAACTGTAACTTACTGAACCAGGAAATCGATTTTCTCACACTGATAACAGTACAACAACAACAAACACGACTTTTTGATTAACTGTCAAAAGAAAACTCGCGGCAAACCAGCTAATAAATACCTCAGTTCATGTAGAGAAAAACCGTACATTTATTGAATGTATATCTACTGGGGAGGCTGTGAGAATTCTCGAAATCCAATGAAAACTGTGACTAACTGAACCAGGAAATCGATTTCCTCACGCTGATGACAGTACAACAACAACAAACACTCCTTTTTGATTAACTGTGAAAAGAAAACTCGCGGCAACCCAGCTAATAAAAACCTCAGTTCTAGAGAAAACCCGTAAATTTACAGAATGTACATGCATATCTACTAGGGAGGCTGCGAGAATTCTCGAAAGTTAAGCACACACGAGACGCAGTCGAGGGTTTGCTTAACTTTCGAGGATTCTCCCAACCTCCCTCGTGTTTAGATGAGGCTATGTATAAACATGCAAAAATACCCCATTGCTTAATTAAATACCTGCTGCCAGGGAATAACAGGCCGTCCGATGGTGAACTTACTTGTTATATAGAAAGATATCTGGTATCCACACTTTACTTGGTCTGATATTTATTTGACTAATTCCTCCATATTCCGATTGGTTCCAAGTCAAGAATGGATTGAACCAGGTCTGCAAGTCAAACACAGTTGTACATGATAATCACACATGTGTAGTCTGTGTAATTGATAATGTCCGAGAAACAGCTAGGATCCTAAAGGCCGTAGCGCTGGACTAGTTGTATTGCAAGGTAGGCTTCACGCAGTGTAACAATCTTGTTGAAACAGGTCACGGAAAGATATTACCTGACGAATCCAAAGACTGACTTGCATCAACTGATTTTTTTCGTCCTGTAAAACACGAGAATAAATCTTAATCAGAGGGCGCAATACTACGATTATAATTTTACTATAATCAACAATGAAATAATATGGTCATAAAATTGTATTAAAGTCGATATCCGTCCCAGTCCTTGAGATCGTGTGGAGGAGTGTTGGTACTTATGCGAGGTTTCTATTGACGCAGGATGATCCCGCGTGATTTAAACTTTAATCTCAACCGCCGCCCCGCCCCCTCCCTCTTCAATATTATCTCAGTTTTGCCTAACAGTTTATCCGTTTCCTTTATGCTTTGGCTAGTGGGAGACACTGTAACTATGAGATTCGTGGCATTAATTCATCCCAGTATGTAACAAGGCGTTAAATAGTTCGTTGACTCGAGGTCAGTGAGCCTAAGTCTGATGACGTTGCCGAGCGTTAGACAATTTAATGACGATTTAATGACAGTAATGTGATTCTCACCACATTGATAAGTTGATGTAAAGAGATTCCAAGCTTTACAGTAACTTTATCGCTCATGTTCACAACAGGCCTCAGCTCAGGATCGTAGTCAGTGCGGAATAGGTCACGTCTCAACCTAGCGGCCTGGCTTTGCGACTGATTCCTCTTGCCATCGATTTCTGCAACACGTAATTGAACTGAGAAGTTTAGACAGGAAAATCTGTGGGATAATTTCTCGGAAGTGTACAGTATGGGGCCCAGTTTTCGGCCACAGAAAACGTAAACTTATAAAACGTAAACTTCTTACCTTGGAATAGCCTTAAGGACTTAAAATTTCACGCACAACTAGCTTCAGCATTCAGTTTACATATGTTCAGCTATCGACTGCTCAACGCTGTTTTCTCCCGAGTAATAACGAAAATGGAGGCTTCGTTCGTGGGCCCAGTCATCGGCCAGCGAGCCCAGTTCTCGGCCACAAAAGAGTGCGCGCGATTCCTCAAAATAAACATCGCTTTATTACCATTTTTTGCTGTTAAATCACCTATAAGGCTTATGTTTTGATATTTCGATCACAAATTATCCTTAAAGAGCTTTGTTTCATGTTAGAAAAGGAAGTTTATTGCACACCTAGTTTTTCTCTTAAGTGCAGTCAAGCGAGGCTAAAAAAGAGTCGGGTATTTAAAACGGGGCACAGCTCATAGTTTTCAGCATGCCACCCCATTATAGCTTTATTTTTACAACTGACTTGACACGAATACTCCACACAAAACTATGAGCGCTTTTAGTGTTGAAGGCGAGCA